AAGTTAAAATTTGCATTTCAGTATATTAACAGTTTATTCTTTTTAAAGTAGGTCTTACTAATCTGTAAGATAAATTTGTGTCAAATTTCAGAGTTTAAACCTTCTGTCAAACACAAAAAAATCCACTTTTATGGATCTGTAAAATTTGTCAGATTGAAGAAAAGGAAATGCAATCATTTATGTATTATATGGATGTGTAGAGATTTTAAAATATTCCAACGTGATTTATAATTTCTTTTATATCGCTTATTTTCCAGTGCTTTCCAGGCTATGATTTTTGGATCCTTGGAACTTGTGAAAGCGTACCTTAACCTATCAGGCAGAGTTCATACCTGTGCATGCAAAATTATTCCCTTGAAAAGATGAAGTTTTGCATTTTGTCTTTTACGTGGGTAGAGCTTAGAAAAATTTATCTATAATATTTAGTTTTTAAAAAGTGTTTCAAAGAAATACAAAACGGTGTCATCCATCCTATTCCAAGTTTCCTTGGAGCAGGATTTCAATAAATAGCAAAATTAAATCATTGCCTGGAAAAAAGCATTAAGGGGACAGGAGAAATTGTTTTCTCAGTTACATTTTCCATTTCTTCAAAAATTCAAGACCTTCTCAGCTAAGGAATATATTCCTCCCCCCCCAGAAAAGAGAAGGTTTATGAAGTGTATTGAAAGCAAATTCTGCGTTCTTGCAGTCCCTTTTATAGCTGTTAATATCTAGGAGTGAATTACCCAATCTTACAAAATTGTCCAGCTTTGGTTTTGGGGATGAGAAGGACTCTTGTATGAAATGGAAGTCATTGTACCTCAACAGGCAAAAGAGGTGACCCAACTCCTCTGCTTGGTCCACGTGGTGGAAAAGGCCCTCCCGGAGATCCAGGATTACCAGGTACCTCTCGCTGATTGAAGAGAAAATTGCACTTTCTCTAAGCTTTGTCAGCGGAGAGGGAGCTCTGCGTCTGTGCCTACGGCGCAGTATTTTCCGCAGTTGGGAACCCGGGGACTGGAGAGGCATCGCAGTGTGCGATGTGGCTGGCACGGACGCAGGAGGCAGCGTGGTGTGGTGTCGCACAGCACCGACGAACGTACCGGTACTCGCCACTCTAAAACCTGGCTTGGCTCCGTCTTGCTAGACCCTTCTGCTCTTCCGGATGTCACCAGGGAGATCGATGTAATTCGGTGCTAATAAGCAGATGCAAGGATTTGAACTACTCGAATAAAGTTATTTTTCTAGTCAAGAAACCCTTTACTGAACTTTTATACTTTTAAACTTACCATGAGATGAAGAAATGGACAACTTTAAACAAATAAATGCTAGATTTTAATGTTTTTTCTTTAAGGACTCTGTGGATTCCCAGGAGAGAAGGGTTTACCAGGCATCCAAGGGCAACCAGGAAGACCAGGATCCAAGGGGGACCTTGGATACCCAGGAATACCTGGATTTCCAGGTAATACCACAGTTTAAAAAACAGTGTCCCGTAGCAGCTCAAGAAAGATACGGGAACAGGAAAATGCAGCTGAGGAGGCACCTCTGCAGAGGAGGGCAGTGAAAGCAGGGATCACATGAAGGCGTGTACTGAAAGCTGTTTCAGTACCTACAGACAGCAGCAATAGTCTGCTCAGGGAGCAAGATCCAGCAGTTCTTCGTACATTCCCAAACACTTTAAGGAACCTCTGGATTACCAGAGTGTGCTGCATGGCATGAAAAAAACATTGGTACTCCGCAGTTTAATAGATTAGCATAGTCACAGATTTTATGCTTTTTTCTACTCTCAGGAGCTACAGGTCCTCAGGGATTGCCAGGAGAACCTGGAGAAAAAGGGAAACGTGGAATTTCGGGACCTCCAGGATTGCAGGGATTAGCTGGATCCCAGGGAAGAAAAGGTAAATGATACACAGTGCAGTTCTGCTGATACCAGCATAAATACCCTTTTAGTAGTGAAAATGGAGAAGGCCCAAGTGTGGCCATGCTTTTGGTTGTGCATTCTCTTACACTACTGACGAATTAAGCCAGTTCCCATCACCTCTGACAAGTGCTGCCTCAGAAAACTGGGCTGCAGTCTGAAATGCGTAAGGCAGAAGGTAGAAACAGATTCTGTCTCAGCGGCTATAGTGCTAGCAGAAGTTAAGGAGAGAAAAAGAGGCCTGCAGTAATTCAGATGTTTCACTCTCACTTCAGTCGTGCTGTGTTCTGCCTTTTCGCCAGGGAGTGCCACTGTTCCTCTACAAAACCAGCAGACTGCTACGGACAGTTTTGTCTTACAGATTTGTTTTAACAAGTTGCGATAACTTACCTTGGGTTTTGTTGCTGTTTGGTTTTCTCCAAAACCTGACTTTTGGTGGACCTAGCACAGAAATTTTTCCCCCAAATCCCAATTTACACTTCTCACAAGGTTTGTTGTGTCGAGATTGAACAGCAGTTCATCTATACAGTTGTTTTTGTTGGAGAACATCATCAACGTTTACAATACTCAGAATGGTATAGTGAAATTATAAGTTACATTAGTATTTTATAAAGAAAGGATGCTTTGCATCCTCGCTCTGTTAGAGAGTGCTACGTAACCAGTTCCTGGACAGGAAGAATATTATTGGTGACTCACACACAGAAATCACAGTAAAGTAACACTTGGGGCTATGATAAATGGTTAGAGGGGACAGTAGATTCACTTTTTCAAATTCGGCCTAAGGAAATATTGAGAAGGTTTCTAATAAATTACTGAAAATGTAAATGAAAAATGGAAACCATTTATGATGGCTCACAGTAAAGTAAGAGGTGCTGATTTAAACTCTGGTGACAGGTTCCTTGCTGGTGCATAGTCTGCAAGAGAACATTTCATTGTTGGAAACAATATTTGCTGTCACAAAGGCAGAGATCTGCAGAGACAGGGGTGTCTAAATTGAGAGGGTTAAAAGAAACCACCGCAAACATTCTTCTGCTGAAAAGTCCTTAGTAGGAGGTGGGCTGTTTCCTTCTTGTTGGAAGTGGTAGGACACTTCCATACTGTATGGTCCAGCACAGGGAATATGCTGCAGAGGGAAAAGTTTGGCCCCCAATGGAAATTCATTAGAGACCAAGTTGCCTGCTAAGCCTCAGGATCCTGTATACTGCCAGCATGGTTGGAAAGAAGGTTAACACCTCTGAGATTATACCCAGTAATGAAAACTGAGTGGAGTTTGTACTCCAGTTCAACTGGAGAATACAGATCTTAACGGTATTTTCAATAAATACTGTTGCTGCATTAGAAGTGAAACGGTTAATTGGTGTTCATAGCTAAGTACACGCCCTTGTTAGCCGAACTGCTGCTCTTTTATATCGTGTCTTGTGCCTGGCGAACATTTAGGTAGAAAAATAGTTAAACAGCATCTACAAAAGCATAATCTCCTTTTCTTTATTACAGAGGTAGTCTTACTAGTTCAGGGCTCAGCCTGGCAAGCCTCACTTGTGTGAGTAATCCTTGATGAGGCAAGTAATACTAAGAATGTCAGCAGAATTACGTGTGTGAGTAGAAGCTGGATTGGGCTGTAAAACACAGAAACAGTGGTTCATACACAGGTCAGCCAATTCAGCTGTACCTAGAAATACGGGACTACAGCAGTCCAAAAATCTAGCATTACAAGTGCTGAGACTAGAATGAATTGTTGACAAATGTGTCTGAAATTCCCCGAAAAGCAAGTAAACCAAGCCAAACTTGACTGAACAAGCTAAAGATCAAAAAAAGTTTTAAATGGTGACCGGGGTGCCAAAAATAATTTTAAACTACCACTATTAAATTCCCCAAATTGGCATGCAACTCTTAAATTTGAGAATGGGAACACCCCCAAAGCACAAGCAGGTTACAGAAACTTAGGCTGTCATGGAACTTTAAAGAGCAGTTAATTAAGGGCACAGAAGATGTTAGAGGTGGGATTACACAGACAGCTCATTATCGGTGCCTTGCAGGTTTTCCAGCAATCTTCTGGATCTAAAATTTCTCCAGACCAGTGTTTGCTACAGGCTGGATTTCCCCCTCGCCTTTCTTTTCATTCCTTTGTTCAACTTTTACTAAAATAATTCAAATGTTTCTGAGAACAAAGCTATGGGATTATTATTTTTGTGTGTCTATTAGAGAACTCTAGTACCCTTTTATTTTTCCTCTCTCAGATCATCTTTGAACTGGGGACCTTTAAATTTGGCAGCTGAACGTAGGTAGCTGAACGTTTGCATTTGATGTAGGGCATTTGTGTTGCTGTTCCTATGGCATTTTGTCCCTGCCGATGCTGACCATCTCACAAACTTTGCAAAACCCATATCCATTCATACGTGCTTAAGGAGAGCAATACATTCTCCCACGATTCGTGCTTTGGATACTCAGCAGGTTTGCGTGCCGCAGGACAGGCCGCGATCAAGCACGGGAAGTGAAACAGAGAACCTACATCGTCTGTGCCAGGAAGTACGAGATAGGGAAAAGGAGACAGAAAGATAATTCAGACTTGTGGAAAAAATTCCCACTGGACTGGGTATTCTACACTGCAGGGAGAGGAACCAGTGGGAAGGAAATGAGACAGAGAGAAGCAGCAAAGGTGGAAAAGAGACAGAAATAGGCACTGGCAGTATTGTTCATCTTCTTGATGATCAGTGTCCACTCTCATCTGTCCCTCTCTGGAGCAGAAGCATCCCAAGTCTATTCCTCGGTCTGAAGCCTCGTTGAAACCTTCTACCGAACGACCCATCACTTTTGCCAGATCTGTGCCCATCACCAGCTGACAGGCTGCCGACTGCATTTAGTAAGTGTACGTCACATCTGGGACGTCATCAGCTTAGGAGACCAGAAGCGCTAGTGACATGAGGTGTTTTAACTCTCCAATGCAGACGACAAACACAATTGCAGATTAATTCGACTAAAAAAAAATGATTTAAAAATGCCATCTATGATTTCACTTACTGTGCTTCAGCCATTGTCAAAAAGCACAGATTGTAAAGCAAGAGTTGTGTCTGACGCCCCCGAACAGTCAGTCTGTGATCTGGTCATGTCGCCAACATCACCAGTGACAAGGCTGCTGTGCCCTGTCACACGGCAGCAAGGCCTCAGTTACGGAGCCGTCGTCTTCAGAGCCTTTGTGCTGGGCTGGTCAGAGAATTTGGTATCAGCGTGGGGTGGAAGAGCACAGCTTTCCGTGTGAAACCTTCAGGACCTGGGAAAAGAAGCCAGGTGAAAATTTCACTTCTCTAGTGGAGCTGGATTAAATTGCACTTGGAACAGACGCTGTGAAGGAGTTCCAGCTTTACGGCTGCTTTAGGTAGCGTCTGCATGCCACTCACCTGGCCTCGGGGTGGTACCGCAGCTGACGTCGGACTAGGGAATCACACGCAGCAGCAGGAGGCTGGCCACAGCCACGAGGTTCACTAGGGAGTAGATTAGGCCATCCTGAGCTTCCTGCTGCTAGCTGCAGTAATTCCTGAAGGATTAAAAGGTGTGTATTCTGGTTGCTTTGAGGTGAAACTCTTACCATGATTGCTGTTTTCATATTTTTCACATTTTCCTTTCCAACAAGGCTGCGCTCGGGCGCAACATGATCTCACCATCAGTTGCCAGTAAGAATCAAATTCAGCAAATGCCCTGTCTCCATCCAGAATGTGTTGTCAGGGAAAAAAAAAAGGGCATCATTTTTAATTGTGACTTGAAGGCATTATTGTGGTACCCAGTCATGCCTGTGATACCTCTCAGGTCTTCCTGGACTGCCTGGACTGGATGGCTTGGATGGACTAAAGGGTCAAAAAGGTTCCGCAGGAGCTCCAGGTAAAGAAGGGAAATGGCTTTGTGGGACAGAAAATCTCTTAAATGACTGCACGTGCAGGGACTGACACACGCTATTTTGATGTTTGCCTTGCCCAGAAGATCTCTTCAGGGCTCAGACTAAATTTTCAAACAGAATCTAAAATATGCCTAACGACAGACCTGCAGTTATTTGTGGGGAAAACTTTAAAAGTCCCATTACTCACACAGTTTTGTTGGCCCCTCTCAAGGCTGTTTATAAAATGAAAATGTTCAGTGCAGGTGATTCAAAGTAGAGCCAAGTCTCTTTTTTCACCCCCCCCACACATGTAGAAGGTAAACTAACAAATTAAAAGGAGACTTATGAAATCCCAGCCCCATGGAAGTCCATGGGAGTTTTGCCACAAAGTTAAGAGGGGCCTGGATTTCACTCACGTTGATCCATTTGCAGCTTTCAAAAGGTGCTTTTGAAGCACTGTTAAAGAACAGTGCTCAGCATCTGTCTAGAGACCATACAAATTTACGCTGATAGAAAATTAAATTTAGGGCCATGCAGTCAGTTTACATTGCAAGTTACAGACAATAATGACAGCATATAAAATAACCCCCAAAGAAGAGCATTAAAGCAAAGAGATTACTGTCTCTGAAAGAGATGAATTAGGGCCAGATTCAACAAAACTCTATCCAGCTTCCAAGAGACAACCAGAAAAATAGCACTAGGCAACCCTTGCAAGGAGGAACATCTGCAGCTGGTATTTCTATTCAGCACATCTGTATTTGTACTCACTGTAAGCTTCATGTACGTAATTGCTTTCCTATAAAGGTCAAAGTGAAACAGGGCCCCCAGGGTACTCAGGAGAACCTGGACCAAAAGGAGACAGAGGTGATCGTGGATGGCCTGGTATTTCTATTCCGGGGCCCCCTGGAGAAAGGGGATTCCCAGGATTCCCAGGTAAGAAAGCGTTTTCTCCTTAGTGGTGAGACCTGAATGGTTGAAATGAAGCTCATGCAAGCTCTTCCCCTGGTTCGTATGGACACTAACACACACCCCAAAGACCCTCTCCCTAAAACGTTTCTGTTGCAATAACATGCCGATGTTTCCTCAGTAGATACAGAGACCTCGGTATCTCTTGTTTATCATCTTACAGGAGAGGAAAGAATGAGAATAGAAGATGATGGACTTGGACAGACTCAGGGAACTGCTAGGTGGAGCTGCCTCCTGGGAAGGAAAGGAGTGCAGGAGGTCTGGTAGTCACAGAAATACAGTAAATCTTATGAACTGTCCTGATATAAATGCAAGGTGGAACTGTATCACAAGGCTGCTGTGATTATTTAAGAGCCTTGGTGATACAGGAATTGCATAGGAGTAGGGAAAAAGCAAGTGCTTGAGGAAGGGCCGCTAAGAAGGTTGGGAGGTGGGAGCATCTGTCCTGTGAGGGGAGGCTGAGGGAGTGGGAACTGCTCAGCCTCCAGAAGAGAAGGCTCAGGGGAGCTTTTATCAATGTGTCTAAGTACCTGACGGGAAGGCCATGGACTCTCCATCACAGTATCCAGCGATGGGAAAAGAGGCAGTGGGCACAAACTGACATACTGGAAATCCTACTTAAATATAAGGAAAAGTTCTGTTTATCCTGTGAGGGTAATTGAGCACAGGAACAGGTTGCCCAGAGAAGTTAGGAAGTGTCTGTCCTTGGAGCTACTCAAAACCCAGCTGGACAGAGTCCTAGGCTACCTGCTGTACCTGACCCTGCTTTCAGGAGGGGGGTGGACTAGAAAGTCTCCAGAGGCCCATTCAAGGCTCAGCAATTCCGTGATTAGAAATGACATTAGTTCTAGTCTACCAGACCTTGCCAGAGTGTCACGTAGCACACAGGAAACATGGCAGAGGTGAATTCTGGTCAGGTGAGTTACTCTAAGACGAAGGCAAAGTCATTTTTCTCAATTCAGGTACGAGTTCGTCAACTAGGGGTGTCAGCAGAACAGTGCTGTTGAGGAAAACAGGGAAAGTTTCATTCTGTGATACATTAACGCTGCTTGACATAAGAGGGGCAAGGCCTCCCCTGGCACAGCGTGTCCAGCTTTGGCAAATTCAGGAGAACTCACTAGAGAGTATGTGGAAGGGTGGTGTCAAAAACAAGACTGAAGAAACTAGATTTGGTTCTTTATAGAACATGGAAGGCAACAAGTGCAACACTTCTGCGTAGCTGCAGCTCGTTAGCACAAGTGTTACGTAGAGGATGATAACCTGTAACTCCTCCTGCCTGTCACATGGAGGAGTACTAATGTCGTCTTTTGCAAAAATCACGATTACAAATTAGGAAAAAAATTACATTTAAGGCTTGTAGATTCATCTTGTTCACTGAGCGTTTTAGGAAACAGCTGAACTCACTTTTGCTAGCAGCAATCTGTGGATACTTATCCTGTATTTGGAGGATTCAGAGCCTCATTTCAGAGTCCCTACTCGTCTTACATTTTTACCATTTCTCCCATTGTTAGAATTCAGGAGAAGGCGACTACTTGTGGCAATATGCCAGCGTGCAGCAGTGCATTCTTTAGTTTAAGCAGATTTTATGGAAAGAAACATTTTAAAAGAAAATATTTTCCTTTCCTTACAATACTTTCATTAGCCTAACCACAGATATGGTCAGTATACGAGTGAGAGCATGCAGTACTTCACACATCAGCATTCTTCCCATTAGAACTTACTTCTTTAATCTAAAAAACACTCACTTCTTTTTTTCCTGTCCTTTTTTCTTTCTGTAAAATGCGATCCCTTAGGTAGAAGAGGACCTGTTGGACCCACTGGACCTATGGGAAGATCTCCAGATAGTGCTTCTCCTGGTCCTCCAGGTGATCAAGGACCACCTGGTTTAGATGGCATCAGAGGTATTCAAACCAAAAATACCAAATTTGATCATTTTAAAAGCCCCTGCGGCTACTAGTAGTCACTGGTTACTGTCTATGGAACAACATATAAAAGTGCATAGGGAACAAAGAAACCAACCAGTGCCTCAGGGAATGCAGGGAGGAGTGGACACCTGAAAGATCACCAGAGCAAAGATAAAACACGATCTCCAGATTCAGTTGTCTGGCCTGTCTGGTGATTGTGTACAAATCCTGCTGCTACAACTATCTCAATTTCCACAGAAGCAAAGAGAAGTAAGATTACTGGTCTCTCTTCCTAGCGAGAAGGATAAAACACATTGTCCAGAGGCCTGTCACTGGTAAACCCACAAAAACTTCCCAGTCTAAATCCAGCCCTGGGAAACCTAGAGCCAGCAAGTGTTCTGTAAACATTTAAGTAGACCTCACTTCTGTGACAAGCAGGGACTGCCAAGGGATCCAGACGATCCCTATAGATTCTGGTCCTCAAATGGAGCTCTTTCAAGTTGTCCTGACCCCTTACATTAACTATTATCTGAACCCTTCCTTAGCCAGTAGGAAGACTTACTTCCTATTGGGAAATAGAGGATGGAGATTGGAAGGGTAAGCAGCTCTGTGATAAACAGAGAAGCAGTGTCTCCATGCATGTAACACCAACTTGCCACCTTTTGCTTGCACAAATCTACACAGTTTTGGGAGCTATTCCTGTTATTGTCTTCCTTACAATGCCTTGGACAGAGGCTAATGCTAGTATTTCTCAGGACACACAAGGGCTCCCCTATGTCCCAGGGCAAAAGCCCAAAAGCAAAGAAACCCCAAGGGAATGTGGCTATTTTCAGATGTTTATGCTTCACGCATATGTAAGAATAAAGTTTTTTTACCGTAGGTCAGCCTGGGAATCCTGGTCCTCCTGGAGAAATTCTCTTTGTGCGAGGAGATCCAGGCGATCCCGGTGTTCGAGGGGCAGCAGGTAATCCTGGGCAGCGAGGGCCACAAGGAGCCAGAGGTCATCCAGGGAACCCAGGAAGAGGAGGCCCAAAGGGTATGATCTGAGGTGCCATTCTGTAGTGTGTGCTTACGCCCAGCGCGGTACCACTGAGCCCTGTGAACAGGGGTTGCTGCGGGAGACTGAGCCGGGCAGAAGGGGCAGGCTGGACACTTCGTAGCTCTGCCCTGTTACCTACGGTGAGGTAGGGCTGGGGTAGAAGGTCAGAGCAGAGCCAGATCCACATGTACTGCTTCCCACAGCTTGTTGGAAGACTCCCCTACCAACCTGAACACGAGGCAGTAACGCTTTTGAGTCTGCCACATAAGTAAACTGTAGAGAAGTCCTGTCTACACCAATCCCTTCCAATCTCTACAAAAAGAAAAGTCATAAATTTTAACTCGGTTCAAGACCGGTGAAAGAAGAGGCAAATGAGCATTTCTTTCGGGGAGACAAGAGAGTTGAGCTGTCCCATTTTTTCTTACCCGTGCAGCCAAGACTTCATCTTACTTACGCGTTCACCTTCTCAGAATACAACCACCCGTAACTGCACAACTGTTTTCTTTCCAGGTCCTATGGGAATCCATGGCCCACAGGGTCCACCCGGTGCTAGAGGACAACCAGGAGACCAAGGTTTTGAAGGAAAACCTGGTCCCAAAGGTCCCACAGGTACGTATGAACCCGCTGCTTATTGCTGCTGACTCGTAACCGTGACCGTTCCACTCCTACATAATCTCACTAATGTTCACTCGCATACAGACAATTTAAACAATCTCAGAAAAAAAAAGACAATTGATTTCTCGTTTGAGTTGTGTAAACATTTCTGAACTGTGCATTTGTTTTGTCACCTAATGTGATTCCAGTTCTCATTCCATTCTTTACTCTGATTTACATGCCTGCAACTTGTTTCCACCACAATGGCCGCAATCTGCTTTCCATTTTTCAAATCCTTCAGGTCTCATAGGTAAGTTCATGACTATTGATTACTGTTCTTCCCGTGTGGGCTGCCTTCTGTATAGACAATTCCCCTCTTACTAGGGGGGTCCTTGGCTTGGCTGCTACGCCAACACAGTGTGAGACTTCACATGAACAGCTAGCAATGCCAAGCAGCCCAGTATCGCAATAATGCTACACTGAGAACTCTCGTGCTGTGATGTCAATTAGACTGGTAAAATACTTCTGTTGCAAATTACCATTTTGGTATTTTGTATATCACACAAGATGCTTTCTAACCAAAACCCGGGGCGAAAGTTTGAATCCAAGCACTGGATTACTACAAACCCGGCACTCTTAATCTGACTGAATCAATCCGATTCTGCTCTTGTTCCAAAATGTAAATAGCCAGTAGCTCCCAGTAACACTGAACACAAAATGCAGCCACTGTTCATTTTCTATTAGTATCATTATTTTAAATGGATATTGTGGGTTAGCTTCTTTGGCCTGCCTACTGATGGTTCTGCAGCCACAGACTCAGCAAAGTACTGTGAACCTTCACACGAGCTACGGTGTTTGTGCCGAAGCTGGGGAGGCTTTAGGCTTTAACTCAGATCAGTTTGGGGCACATTAAGACAGAAACTGTACCCCAGATATCTGAAACTTATTAGCTAGCATACGCTTGCTGACACATGCTTGCCATGCTGTTAAATGCTGTGCTAAAGCATGGAGTAAAATTAGAAGCAGTTAGACTCAATTCAGGATTTTAAAATACTTAAAGTATACACTTGAATACCAAAACCAGCTAACATGTTCATTTTTCACATGGGAGCTATTAACCAATCTTTCCCCTAATTTACTTTCCTATTACACATTCCAGGTGACCCTGGTGAACCAGGAAAAATAGATGATTCATGCCCTGCAATCCCAGGGCCTCCTGGGGACGCAGGGCAAAGAGGAGAAGATGGCTCTGCAGGATTACCAGGGCCAATAGGCCACCCTGGACCCCAAGGTAAGCTTGTGGTTTGAAAGCTTGGATGTCTAATTTTAGCTGTTTAGGCAACAAACTGAAAAGGGTCAGTGTCAGTGTTACTTCTCTGTGTTTTTACCATGTCTTTTTCCCTTAAACACTAGTTAACAGTCTCCAGAAACACACAGTGGGCTGGGTAAGCACGATGGATCAATATGGCTGACCCGGGCTACTCGAGCTTGCCTGCACTGCATTCCCTTTTCCTAGGCCAGGGAGGGCACACGCATCATGCACTCGTGAGAAAAGAATTCGTCAAACGGTGTTCTTCCTTTTTACCAACAGATGGAAAAGCAGTGCCTCAAACCACTTCTGTGGTTTAAACAGGTTATACCTGGAGGATCTTAAAAATATACATGCTTTAAAACTGAGCAGTAACGAGTCACGAAGCTCTGCTAGCCAAAGTCCTAAAAGGGCACTCAAGTCAGAGAGGGGGCTACAATAGATAGCGCTGTTTATCCGTTAGAGCATGGAACAGTGTCGTGGTTTAACTCCAGCTAGCAAAATACCACAAAGCCGCTCTCACAAATGCCCCTCCCCTCCTCTAGTGGGGGGGAGAATCGGAAGGAAAAGAAATAAGGAAGCTCGTAAAATTGAGATAAGAACTATTTACTAATTGAATCTAAATTAATATATACAAATACTACTACTACTAAATAGTTAAAATAATAGAAAATAAAACATATGGTACAATATGATACAATTCCTCACCACCCACTGACCAATGCACAACCAGGGGTTGAGTAGTGAGAGCCAGACACAGTGAGCCCGAGGGCCGCAGCCTGAGCGCCGCCACAGCAGATTCCGACTGAACCCTGTCAGCGATAGCATGACCGGGAAAACTAAACAAACCCACCAACTCCCTCCCGAATGAGCCAGCACAGGAGTTACCAAAGCAGCTAAAGCAGGAGTCAGGGAGAGGATGAGCAAGTGTACGGGAGTGAACAAGAGAGTAAGGGGGAGAGAGTAATGGCTCCCCGTCACCCTCCCCCTC